TATAATAATAATTTTGGTGTATTGAAATAAAATATTATCAATAAAATAGTTGCACATGATGTAAAAAAATTATTCAAAAAATTGCAAAATTATATTGTATATTCAAATGAACATATTAAGTCAGATTTAATAAACACAATAAGGTATTTTGACAGTATTAAGCTTTATCTATTTTCAAGAATGTTATAAATCTTCATGAGATGATATATAACAATTTTTTTGAATCAAGTTATAAAAATGAGTTAATTCAATTAATCAATTAACTTTGATCAACTTAATTTCATTTACTTAACTTAGAATTTATCAATTTATACACAAATTTCATCAAAATTTCATAAATTATTTAGCCTACTTTTGAATAAAGCTTGAAATATATTTTTTGATGTTTCTAATGTTAATGTATCACATACATTAGCATGAGAATGTGATACATGATGGTATGTGATAATCAAAGTCACCGTGATACATATCAAAAGATACACACATGTATAATAACATCATTATCATTTTGACAATATATATGCGCGTAATTCGTGCAATAAATGTTTAACAATTAATATCAAAGTAATTTTTGAGAATGCTTAAATCTCAAATAATGATTTGAACTAATACAAGAAAATTGTAAAACCTTGAATTTTAAAATATAACAAAAATTTGATTTTGATGCTTTTGATCAAAATTGAATTCATAAATTACAATTAAATTTAACCATCAATTTTATACTAAATAGATTTACTTTTTTTCTTAATCACAGATGAAAATCATTACTTGTTCCTAAATTAAGGATCAAAATTCAAATCCAAAAAGCATCATATACACACGTTAATTTTGTAAAATATTACTGAGTAATTAAATTTTGAATACTAATATCAAATCTAAGTTCAAATTAATGATTCTAATCATATGTCACCGGTTTCAAGTAGAAATATATCAAGATAAAAATGAAATTGTCTTATATTAGATAATTTATAATTTTTATGTTAGCAATCTGTGTAATTTAAATTAACAAGTTAATTCATTAATTAGAAGCAACACGTTAGTAATCATTATGCTTGTTAGATTGAGATGTAATCTGTTTCTTGATTTCATAATTGAAAACGACAGGTTAGCAATTCATGTGCTTATTAGGTTAATGTCATCAATTCCTCTGGAAGTGAAATGTTTGAATTATGATCCTAACTTCTTAGACTTGTTGAAAATATCTGTATAAGTGGAATAATATTTTGGATAATGACTTTCAACTTTTTAGACTTGATCAAAACATCTGTATAAGTGGAATGTTGTTTGGATTATGACCTTATCTTCTTAGATTTGTTTAAAATATCTATATTAGAAAAATAAGAATCATAGTAGATCTCTCCCATCTTCAAATTCTATATTTCATTATCAAAGAAACTCAAACTGTCTCAACACCTTATATGTATGTCTTACTTCACATGATCTTTCTTGTAATTTTCATTTTAGAGCTAAATATTTCAAGTATTCCAAAATTATCATACACTACTACTTCTTTTTACTCTAATTATTGCCTTTGACAATTTTTTAAAAATTTCTCACAAATGCTTCTATTTGTTCATTGTCTCTCTAATAACACAACAAAAGTGTTTGAATTTTTAGCATATTTTTTATTTTGTCAATAGAAGTAATTATAATACAATGCAAACAACATAAATTCTATTTTAGAATGATTCATCAAGATCCAATTTGTTTCTTGATTCAATATTGATTTATCTATCATCAAAATGATTATATATATTTACAATTAAAGCTTGAGTCGACCGTAATCAAATTTGTCAAATATTCAAGTAGGCAAAAAATTTGTTGAGTTGATTGAAAACAAGTCATGTAAATCTTTCATTGATGATTCAAGTGTTACTATGTTGCTACATTTTTCCTGTTTATAGGCAATAAGATAAGCTCACAATGGTTATTTAATCATGAACAAATTTAGATATCAAAACTATACTTGTTGAAATATTAAAATTAAAATCTAATAATTATGAAAGAGCATAATTTTCTTGTCTTTTATTCAAATTTAAATTTTGATGAATAAAAAAGTTGACTACATGTTAATTTTGATATGTTTGATTAAGTCATAGAACTAAACTAGACCTATAGTTTGACTTGATGGCAAGTTGATGTTACAAAGCTACAAAATCTATGCTATGTCGTCATCTCAATTCAAAGATAATTTCTTTCCAAAATTTGGTATGTAATTTAATAAAAGTTAATAAAATAACAGTTTTCATATTATATCATGCTAATAATTCCAAAAATAGATAAAAAGAGATGCAAAAAATTAATCTTAACAAGTTTGAATATCATTTTTTTTTACTTAAGGGCGGTGTGAATTTTCTAAAATTTAAAGATGGTCAACTTTACAACATTAGAATTTTTTAGTAGAATTCTAGCAATATAAATAGAGAGTTCTGGTCACATTGATACTCACTCTCGTAAACACCAGTTGTACTTGTGCCAATATCTTGTGGGAGCGGTTAGTTATACCTCACTTAGGACTAATTAGCCCTCACTCTACTCCATTCTCTTCTGTAATTGGAAGATGAAGGATTAATTAGACCTCACTCTACTCCATTCCCTTCTGTAATTGGAAGATGAAGGGTTATAGGTTTCTTGGACGAGTAGCAATCACGGTATGGTGTAGAGTGTTCAGCCAATCAAAGAATCGCGTATACTAGGGTTAGGGTTAATTAGCCCAAAGTGAGGAATAACTCGTACTCTGCTATCTTGTATATCAATATTACTTCTAATGTTATTACGGAGTATTGCTGTTTGAGACTTGTGTGAATCGCGTTACGTAACAATAACTACTTCCACTATCACCACCGATTATCGAAGTCTTGTGTGAGCTTCCGTAAGCAACACTAACTAAGCCAGCACTCAAGAGTAAAAAATCAAGAATAAAATTTTTAACCTCATGTCATACTACTATGATAGAGTTTCAACAGTTCTTTCATGTACGTTGATATAGTGTGTATTGTGATAATATATGAAGGGAGTGGCTAGTTATCCCCACTTAGGGCTAATTTGCCATCACTTTACTATATGCAAATATTTGATTTGATCAGGTTATATGGTTCGTGTATGAGTAGCAACTACTTCCAAAATATAACGTTTGATCAATGAGAGACAAGTATATAGTAGAATGAGGGCTAATTAGCCCTAAATGAGGAATAACTAGCCCCTCCCTCTATAAAACATGTAAATGTAAAGAAAAATTGTACTACTCTTGCTGCAATTTGATGAATGAGTGAATCTATCAAAAAGCTCCTTAGTTCAAGTTTTCACTCTTGTTGAATCCTAAATCAATCTTTATCTTCCAAGTACTCCAAGAATCCAAAGCATATTTGCACACATATGTAAAATATTGCTCAAATTCTTGCAATGTTGCGGACTTGACAAGAATGCATAATCAAAATTGTGACTTTAAGATTGTGTAATACTTCATTTGATCTGATGTCATAAACATCACACAAGCCTTCCAGTCTATCTATAACACATGATGTGCAAGTGAAAAACAAACAGAAGTCCAAACTAGACAACAAGATGCTTCAATCAAATTAACAAAGTTCAATTTTGTCCTTCTGCATTGCTCTTTCATCCTCAACACAACTAGTAAGAAAACAAGCAATTTGCCTAGAAGTCCGGAGTGCACAATTGCATGCCCGGAGCTGCACCGGGTTATCCTCCATCAGCTGCTGATTACCTTGCAGCCATGACTGCTGCTCAGCATGACAGCGCACAACAAACATTGGCCATGCTCAATGCAATTCGGATAGAGAAGGAGTGAAGTAGCTTGGCTATTATGCAACAAATTTTGCAAAGAAATCAACAGCAAGGTGTGAACATCTCTGCAATGCTAGGTAACACTGGAGTTGGAGGAGCGGCTATTGATTTTGCTTCTCTACTGAACAATGCCGGAAGTACTCCAGACTATTCAGCTTTCTATTGATTAGTCAAAGGCCAAAATGGTCCAGAATTAGCTTATATCGAGACATTGTAGATTATCCATGTGGAGGCAGAAGGCCTCTATATGTGCATAGACATCTTTGATCACGACGTTTCAGCAGCTTACTGATCCTCCGCAAAGGCCATACTGTCACCGAGAGTCACGGCCTCTTTAACACGAGTCCATTTGTTGAGGGGCAGACTGCTGAAAAATAGCTGAGTAGCTTGCAAATTCTCAGCACTATATCTATCGCCTTGAATCTGGAATCAGCGGCCTCTAGAGCCAGAATCTCCTCCTGCCACTGCAAGGATTTTCAGTTTCGTCTTTCCTGGAGTAGGAACTAGTCCCTTGGGCTGCAACCATGCCAGAGCCAGTTGGCCCGGAGAGCACTTCTTCTTAGCTCCAAAAACAAATCACCGCTCATACAACAATTTGTTATGTTGGATTGCTTGAAGCTTGGTTACTCGAGCCTGACATCGCCTTGTGTGAGATCTGGCACATTTCATCCCGTCCTTGACCTGGAGAGCTGTACCTTCTAAGTATCGATGAAACAAAACTTTGCTAACAGATAGCAGCGTTTTGATTCACTAGGCAGCAAAAAGTTGCACCGGATCAGTTCGGATCGGGCATTTTCCAAGGTGGATCTCTTTTATTTGTAAAAGGTTAAAGCGTTGGTACATCCCCCACGAGCACGAGTTTTCCGCTCTCCACAACAAAGATCACAGAGCCTCTGTGGACTGAGAACACTCTTCCACATTCCTGGAACTTCCTGAAACATAACCTTTCCTTTCCTTCATTGCTTGAGAGAAGCTTCATACAAACTTCTCTGTGATCCCGCTGTCGTGCGTTCAGTGGACAGTTTCAGAGGATACAGTAGCCTAAACGGTGGTTATTGACTCTTTCTTAACACAACAGAACTTGATTTTCCTCTCTGCTTCCTTCACGAGCAAATGCTAGGTCACTCCTACTGCTTGACCTCATATCTACATGAACTCCATCTAAACTTCTAAGTTCCATTCAACTTGAAAGGCAGCTGTGAGGTGAATGAATTAATGAAGTAACGAATGCTTGCAATACCATCCATCGACGATAGACTTCAGGAGAGAAATGATGGAATGATGACTTTCGAGTGTTGAACTCACAGAAGAAAAGGGAGGTGCCATCTAGTGCCAGAAGAGGACGAAGAGGTCCGCTTCAGGTCTCTTGCACCCAGCCTTTTGTCGCTAAAAGATATCTGTCTTCCTATCTACGAGATGCTCAGCTCCATAAAACTAATCTATATTCTCACAACTCTAGTGAAAGATTTCTGGCAATGATCTCTACGATGACCATTAGTGGTCAATTCGACGCTTCTCATGTTTGAAACAGCAAGCTGTAATGGTATGCACGGAGAACTACTCTCGTACAGCCTCGTGAGTGAGCTAATTACAACAATGTGGAGTTACAGTAGCATCCAGTGAGCTCTTCACAGGGTTTTGGCTCTCCAGTCGACGTAAAATGCATCCTCTTCTTCTTCCTCCTCACTTTCGTCGTCACTTGATTCATTGCCGCTTTCATCTGCTTTGTCTTCTTCATTTGTCTTTGCTTGCTCCGCAGCTGCAAGTTTTTCTTGCTGTCGCTGCTTAATCCTTTCTATCCTCTCGAATAGAGTTCTATCATATCCATTCCCACCACATCAGACGAGAGCGTCGAGGCCCAATTTCATGATTATGATACCAGTAAATCATAATTCAAACGCATCAAACATACTACTTAAACTGACAGAATAAGTTCAGGAGCTCCCATTTGTTGGGAAAGGAGGAACCATGACTACACGAAAATGACTTTTAGATGGACACGCTGAACATGGGAACGACAGGACATCAGGGGAAAAATATATTGAGCGCTGAGATAACGTATGGTGACAACTAAATCCACCATCTTTCATTTTGAATGACAAACTGTCGTACCTTTGTTCTAGTTGTTCCCGCTCTTCTCTTTCTTCTGCTGCTTCGGCCTACGTAACAACGTCACATGAGGTTCAAATAGTATCATATAAAAGGTTCCAATGACTTGAAAAGCTGATCTAGTCTATCATGCAGGTTGGAAGGGAAATAATCAGCCACCTCTTCTTCCTCCAACCGAACATCCACATCCAGCATATCATCCTTAATTAGCTTTTGAAATTCTTTGTATTCATCCCTGCAAATACACTCAATATCAGTAAGACTGAACAATTATGGTAACTCCTTAACACTTGCAAGCCCTATCTAATTGAGTTGCACATTCTTTCTCTTCAAAGTGCTCGGTGTGATATTATGGTACCAAAAGTAGCACAATCTACGGGAGAAACACAAAATAAGAGAAACTGATAACTTGCAAGAAAACCATTCACCTACTTAGGATCAAGTTTAGGAGGTTCCAATCCTCTAGCTCTGTGGTCCGCATCCACACTGTCAAAAAAGCCTTCAGGCAAGAAGCCCTTTGCAGCAGCTGGGCTTTCTTTGCTGGATTGATTATCAGACTCTTGAGCCACAACTTGAGTTGGTGGGCGTACACTTTGCACTCCATTCCTGGCCGAATGTCCTCTATGAGACTTCGATTCGCCACTTTGTTTAGCACCTGGAGGCTTAGGGGACTCAATCACAGCACCTGCCAATGCACATGAGTCACTGGTCAGAGTCATCCCGAATCCTAAGCTAAGCAAGACTAAGCGCTCGGTGCCTGTAGTTTCCCATCTATATGAAGGTCGTCTTTTCACGAAGCTAACTATACTACTCAACTTATACAGGAAAGAACAGTTCACAGAGACCGAACCTTGCTTAGGGCGTTTAGGTTCAGCTGTATCAAAAAAATCATCCGGAAGAGTAGAGGAGGGCCTAGCCACAGCAGCAGGAGCTCTTGGGGGCTCAGGTGCCTTTGGAGCAGACTGTGAAGCTGCTTTGGCCTTAAGGTCGTCTACAGCCTGCAAGCAGCAAAACATAGCAGACTTTTAGGAAAACAGACAGTTGGAAACCTATATCTTATAAACATTTGCATGTATTTGTATGGTTCTCACCCATTACTGGATTGCCTTCTCAATATCAACATGAGCAACCGAAATCGGAAGCTTGGCAGACTACAACTACAGCAAGGCATTAGAACTATCAGATACATCTACAAACATACTTTAAAATCCATTCAAACCATGTGATAGGCAGAGACTTACTGCCTTATGTGGGCGTGAAGCTATATGTGCTGTCCACAGTGTCTCAGACTTAACAGTGACATTGCACACTTTGCACACAGGTTGTCCCAAGTCGTTGTATCTGTTGCAGGCCGTTGTGTCAGCTTACATTGTAACCACTGGATAGTAACTCAAGCAAATGGACCCTAACTACTGGGTTCATGAGAATCAGCTCTATGACATCAGCTTTCGCTTTGTAAATTGAACCTCGACTAACACATTTTTTTGGCCATTGGATATCAAAAGCACTTACAAAGTTCACCGAAATTAAAGCATCTACGGAGGTCTGTTTAGGGTCACAGAGAAGGGGGGGATTTATAAACGAGTTTGCCGATCGCGAAGAGAACGATCGGGATTTATACAAACGATTGTGCACATAGTGAGGGCGTAAATTTACTCGTGCCTTTTGCATTATCTTAAAATTGCTCATCTTCACAGCTGTGGTTTGAAAATCAGAAAAAATTGCGAATTGAGCAGAGAGTGATCAATTAGGAAAGTACAATGCTTATGGTGAAAATGCTGACCGAACAAGTGGAGATTCTATCCTCTTTCCTCGTTTTTGTACTGCTTCCCTCATGCGCAATTTTAGAGCAGCCTTGGCGTCCATCTTGAAACGCTAGTGAAGCTTCCGATCACTTCAAAGCCCTCTCGTCGCGTCTCGCTCGCGTCACACTAAATGCCCAAACAAAATCTGAAATACCTCCGAAATTAGAACAAGCTCATTTCTAGAAAAGCTACGCAACATCCTGGACAGAAACCACTAACAAACTGAAACTTCGAAATCAAAACGTGAACCGAATCCAGTACGACAGCACTTTCCCTCCTGAAATCGAACAGCAGAACTCAAAACATACCCTGTCATCCAGCGCCATGCGGCCAGATTGTGCCATGAGTCCGCGACGCAATCGCTCAGTACCCACTCTCCTCTCCGCGAGCTCCGTAATTCAAAGTCCGGTCAGAAGATCGGACTCGCACGCCTCTCATTGCCGCAGTCCTCCATCCCTTGCTCACTTGCTGCACTCCGAGAAAGCAACGAGCAAATCTTCTGCTCGAATCGTTTCTTCTCTTTCTGTCAAGAGTCCACGAAATCGAACCTCAACTTCGGCAACTCTCTTCGGCCAAACTGCCTCAATTTTCGAACATATTTCAGTCACCACTTCCGCGCTTTCGGAAATCCAGAAATTTAATAAACCCTTTCCCGTGCCGAGGAAGGGTACGAGTCCACGGCTCCATAGATTGCTGAACTGAAAGTCGGTTGACTTTCGATCTTCTCGGTTCACTCTCGCAGACAGAGAAGATAAAATGGTGAACGAGCATGAAGGAATATTAGAAGCTGATTACAAGAGTAAGATGAAATTCCTACTGAGGTTTTTGGATTTATTAAGGAGGCCAAGATGTGAACAGAAAACCAAAAACTCTATGTGTAATAGAGAAAAGTCCATTGGAAAGTTAATTTTCCACAATGAGGGGATAATTGAACCCTGACTGATGGTGCATTGTGATATATTCTCAAATTTTGCAAAATTTGCAGACATAAATAATTTTGGTCCAAGGGCATTTACCAGGTACTTGACTGAGTGCGTCTTGACAAATGTTACATGTTTTTAGCTCAGTACACTCCCATTCCATTTTCCACTCTATCACTATTTTGTTCCATGCATTTCACATCGCTGAATGTGAGATGCGTGGAACAAAGTAGCACTCTGAGATCTCAAAGAATCGAGTGAAGTTCAAGAGCAGGGTGGAAAATTTCCAACATCAGCCCCAAAAGAGATAAATCTGGTGATAAATCGTTATGTCTCCAACCTTGGCATTTGTGTGGGATGATTTATAGCTTTGTTTAACAAACATCACCTATCAAAATCATATTTCTCACAAAAAAATAATTTTTTTAACCTTAGAATTTACTGAGATACCTATCTATCCATATGTAGCCCAAACAATATGTGTCAACTCCAACGGAGAAGTATTAGCTACACAAACTTATCATCCCTCTTTATCCGTATGAGTGTAAATCTACAGTAGATATCTGCAACCGAGTTTGAAGATACAATCAGAAGTGGATATAGAAAAAAAAAAAGACCATTTATTTCTTCTAGAACTAGAACTTTCATATATCATACACACATATCATTTGTGTGTGTGTGTATATATATATATATATATATATATATAATAGTGATTAATATATACATGAATCCAGGTTACATGTAAATGGCATGAAATCCTTGATCCCATTCTTTATAAAATAGGTTCACAATCCCTACCTAATTAGATATACTATCAACCGCAATTTACATATCATGTAAAGTTGTTTTCAAAAACAAAACTTCACATCTAGTACAAAATCACATCACATCACTTTAGGGACTATTGTAAAAATAAATATATATATATTTTTTGGAATGTTGTGGTGATATTGATTGCTTTACATAGGAAATAATTTAGGTTATATGATACATATTGAATTTATGATATTTTTGACATAAGGCGATATATACATGTTGATCATCGAGATATCAAATTATATCAATCTCCAGCAATACATTTATAGGGCTAACTAATAAATCAGTAAATTCAATAAATGAAGAAAAAATTTAATCTAATGTCCAGAAAGTTACAAAATATAGAAGAGTCCAAAAAAATCATAGTTCAGACAAATGTTCCTTGAAAGATGTCAAAACCAAAACAAGAAGATGTATATCATTACAAATATGTCAATCATCAGTTGATAAATGAAATTTTGCTAAAGGATTATATAATCTGTTGGAAGGTTTCATCAAGACTGATTATACAGATTTTATTTATATAATGGATAAAAACCTCATATGCAAGAGTGATAAAATCCTCACAAGATATCAATTTTCCACTAGGCATCTTCATATCATTAAATTTACGAAAAAGAATTATTATTATTTTTTTAAAAGTTCAAAATTTGAAATATATGTATATCACCCAAAAAAATCCCAAATAATAGTCAAGAAATAGAATTTTAAAAATAATGAACAGATAATTAAGATTTAAATGAATAGAAAATCTTGAAGTATGAGTTAGATCATTATAACAAAGCAGATTAAAAAAATTATCATATCATTATGTTACAACATATTTAAGAGAATAAATATTACTATTATAAGATATAAAAATTTTAGTTTATATGTGAAAAAAAACGACTTTATTAAAAACTGACATCTTATATGGATTCAAATTGATCATGTTGAAAAGAAACTTACAAAGTGGTAAAATGTACTCAACATAATTTTCACATCTAGCAATCACACACATCACATAATTTTTATACTCAATATATATCACATCACACAAGCACATGGTATGTATTTTTAAAAAATATAATCATCTCGCTTATTAAAATCAAGCAAATAATGTTAAAATCATTTTAAATGACTAACATAATTTCTTATACATATCATAGTATATTCAAAAAAATTAAAATGTTAATCATATATTGCACAATTTCACTATTCATTGTATATTTTATGATTCATATGTCATAAATACATTTACACTTATTCTAGATGAATTTATTTATCATAGATCATTATTATCTCATATTATTTGTATTCATTTTTCAAAATAAATTTTTTCAAATTCATATCATTCAAGTGAGAAATTTTAACATCGTCGTCATCTTTTGTAACATTGTGCACAAAAAACTATTTTTAAATTTAATATTTAAAAAAATTAAGAAATTTCATTTAGAATTAAAATTTTCATATATTTCTAATAGGATAAATTTAATGTGATGAATGCATTAGATCAGAATAATATGTTAAAAATATATGATATGTGAATTGACTGACATGATATATCTTTAGGCCAAGGGGCAAAATGCAAACTATACTTATGATCAGCAATCATTTGATTCTCATAATCACTGGAAAATATTTGATAAATCCTCTATAATTTTTGAACAAAATACTTTCTAAGAATCAGGTTCATTGAAGTTCAAAACTTCAAACAAAATATATTGTTATAGATTTGTTAACTCAAATTTCATGAGAATTAGCTAGATGATGAAATAAGCATTCTTTTTATTGATGTTCATGGAATTTATTCTATGCTATGTTGTGAACTTGGCGTATCTTTCAAAAAACATTTGTCACCAAAAAACCTAACCACGAACTGTCACAAGCTTCAGAAAGAAAATATATGAAATAAAGTGTTAAACTTCCTTCGCATAAAGTCTCAACTAGAAACCAAATCACTAACTATTACAAACTTATGAAAGAAAGAAGAAAATAAAAAAATGAAAGAAATAAAATAAAATGTTAAACTTCCGTTCCAAACAGTGTCACTTAGAAACCAAACCACGAACTATTGATCTTAAAAAGAATATTTCACCTAAAAACCAAACTACAAACCTAGCGAACTTCCAAAAAAAAATAGATTGTTATTAATAATAATTTGTTAAACTTACGTCGCAAACAATAAATCACAAACACTTAATCAAAATTACGACTTTGATATCAATTTGCTAACAGCTTAATCATATAGACACGTGCATGAATAGACAAGATACATATAATGTGGTTCACCTTTTAGAGTGTTTCATCCACGCTTGAAACACTCGCGATGGTTTATTGACAAGTGAATGCATTGCTTTCAGAGTAAAAGTTTTTGGGTATATATATACCCAACATCCGCGACCAATCTAGCTATAGTGAGTTAAAACCTGAGTTTACTCTTTAACCGGTGTCAATCTCAACAAAGTGTTGATAGCATGGATATTGTTGAAAAACTAAACAATTGAGATTAAGGAACAAGCACATATTTCTTTGCTACTTGCTAATTATTCAAGTTTGTAAAAGCCATAATTACTTTCAATAATTATCTAGCATGTATAAGAAGTAAGTTAAATTAAAAAAAATGATTTCAAAAAATAATATGCAATTATTTCTAAAAATAATCTTTAGTATTTTTTGTGATTTAAAAAATAAACTTTAATCAAGATTTATGTAAGACGATCTCAAGATGCAACAACTCCATATTGATTTTTTGCAAAACAGCCTTGCATGTACATAAGATTGTTGAAAAAATCGTTTGTACATCTAATTTTAAAATAATCTCATTATTCCTTTAAATATATTTTTTATTGTTTTTTCAGTTCACTTACTTTTTTTAATCTTACAACATGCTTTTTAAAGTAAAATTTAATTTCAATGTTTTAAATCTATCACATATTGATATGCAAACAAATTTATAAAGGATCAAACAAAATACACATTTATATTTCACTTTAATTTATTTGTCACTTTAATGTACATTAGAAAATTACCAATGTATGTATTCACATCCAAATTATAATTGTATGATTTTTAATGAAAAATTTTTTTACATCAAATTCAATGAATTTTATAATAATTTTTTTACAATTAATTATAACTTTGCACCTTTGTATCAACTTTCCGCTATCAATTACTTTTTTCAATCTACTTGTGATTTAAAAACTTAAGAATTAAAAAAATTCACGCGGTAAGCCAAGTTGAAATAAAATTCTACTATAAAAAATCTTGCAAATTTTTTGTAATCTCTCAAATTGCATTGTCAAATTGAACAATCAATTTTAATCTTGCATCTAAATCTTTGCACAAAATTTGAATGGTCAAAATCTTTTGTACAAATCCGTCTTTGTACAAATTTTAAATCTTTCTTAAATGTATTGTAGTTGACTTAAAATTTGATATTTGCAGAATATTCCTATTGAAAATTACAATTCAAATTTCAACAAATTAATCAACAATAATTCTTGTAGATATAATTTATATTAATCAAACTTGATTTTATTATTTTTTTATCAATTCATATGTCTTGTTATTGATGAGCAATTCCATTTCAAATACTAAATTTTTTTGTTTAATATTCAAAATTTCAATTTTATGTGTTTATAATTTTTTTATAATATAATCATTTATTTTCATCTTAGACACTTCTTATTCTTGATCTCTATTAAATCTAAATTCTAGAACTAAGAGTGTTATGAAATATTGTGATACTTTACAATTTTTCACTAAGGAGCATAATAGGAGTTGACAAATTTTTTTAATCTATGTATATTATTTTTAATTTTTCTTGTTTTGACTACATTGTAATTCTAATTAGTTTTATATACAAAGAGATTTTTATTAAGTATACTTATCAGAAAATGTACAAAATAAATGTAATGAGTATATATCTTAAGACATATATAATAAAAAAATTTTATTATTTTATTCAATTCAATTGTTCATTTTAATCATTAAGAACAAGGTTAATACATCATTGTTTAAAAAACTCTATTGTAATTCTCTATGACTTGATTATAGATTTGCAATAAAACGACGCTGTGTTGTTGTGGACATGTATAAATCTTTCTGTGTTGTGTGGTTCTGCTTCATGAAAGTTTCTTTTCTGCTGACTCAAATATCAACAGCATCATTTTTGACATATTAAAATCTTTATATTATTTTAGAAACTACCGTTATGAATATAGATGCAAAAATAATAGCTGATCAATCATGTTATCATGTTTTTGCAATAATCACAAAATTTTGATCCAAAACAATATTTCTACAATTCATTGATAAAAAAATGATTTTGATCTTCATTTGACATCTTCATCATTACATCCATACAGTAAATATTTTACCTCGTATATTTCATGATAATTCTAAAAGTATGTTGTGCAATGATAATGTGAGATTTTTATAAAGCTGATAAATCCTTATTATATACTCAACAATCTCTTCTCCTACATGTTCACCTCAATGGTGTGAGCAAGAGAAGACACAGTTTCAATCTCGGTATATAGCAAGTAATTTGATTGCATCTTTCACTCTAAGTCTCGACCCCAGTTTAATAATGTAAACGCTGGACCACTTTTTGCGCGTTACATGTTTCCCAATACCCATATATCCTTCGTTGTATTTGCTCAACTTTGAAATTCTGACCAACATTCTTCATACGAGTGGCCTCCAAAGTATTCAAATCAAATGGGACACAAACTGATCCATGTATCTAGAATATCTTGTATAAGAGGAAAATTGAATATAATAGCAAAAGGGATTAGGTTGGGGCTAAATCTTAGCCCCCTCAGTCTTAGCCGCTAAGATCATATGTAAGCAAGAATGAAGACGGATTCTTCGACGTCTTCGTATAATAAAATGCCTTCTCCCGTCAATATAAACTGCCACTTCACAAGAACTCCAAGTCATAGTCCTAACCCTTCCAGAGAAACTTAGAAAATCTACAACTCCTCTAAAACCCTGGAAAGTAAGAAGAAAAAGGAAAAAGAAAACAGAAAAAGGAAAAAAGAAAAAAGAAAAAAGAAAAATGCAACTAGCGAAACATCGACTCATCGTGATACTCCCAACATCAACGAAAGCCGAAATAGTTTCAGAAAAGGCACCAAGCGCCCAGCGGAGACGATGGAATTCCCGAAGCGCGTGAAGTGGAAGATGCCGAGGGGCGACAGGATGAGACGGATGCGAGCCAAGGAACGCACCTCTCACAGACGAGCCCCGTCTCCGAGTGGATTGGAGGCCCAGCAGCAGCAGCAGCAGCAGGAGCTCTGGCGAGAACGTTGTCGTTTGGATCCATCCATTGGAGGCAGCTCATTGGCCCGCTCCCGAACCACGTGAGCTCAGAGTGAGAGAGAAAGAGCGATGGCGGCGGCAGCAGCAGCAGCAACAGCTGCAGGAGCATCACAGTTTTGGTTCGGATAAGGACGCAATCTGCGCGACTCCAATTCTGCTCCAACTGTCGTTGTAGCTCGAAATCGTCTTTTGCACGTGAGTTCGACCCGATAGCTGCTGCTGCTTCTGCTCTCGTCCCGTGGCTCGATGAGTGCAGCAGTCGGGAAATGTAAGAGTGGAGTAGAGTTTGTGGAGTGCCGAGCTGAATTCAGAATTGCTGCTGCTGCTGCTGCTGGAGAAATGGGTCTCATGGTGCATCTCGCCGAAGGTTGATGAGAGAGGGACGGAGGCTGGGCGAGGAGTCGGTCGTGGCAGGAGAGGGCACTCGTTTTCATGGCGGAGCTAGGTGCCCTCGCAGCTGGGCTCTTCGGGCATGACATCGTCTCGTGCTCTGCCGGGACGACGAGGCTGCGAGACGCGGAGCGCCGGAGACTCGGCAGGGAGCAGAGTTCAGCTTGCCCCGCACTCGCACTCGCTCTCGGTGAGAGGCGAATTGGCTGCGTGGGCTTTCCCCTGTGTTCTATCAGCAGTCATGGCAAGGTGGCACGAGAAATTCGAGTCTCCAGAGTGGTCGCTGACAGGGCCATTGCCGAGGTCTTCACCGATAGGGAGTCAAACTCTCTACGATCGTCGGGCGAGGACGAGGATGAGCGCTCGCAGCTGATGGTTTCTCGTGAGAATTTCTCCGGTGCTGTGGAGGCGGAGGAGTTCTCGTTGAAGGGCGATGGAAGCGAGGGCAGAGTCGTAGGCCCGGGAGACGATCAGAGCTCCGCCATTGGCGATCTCCACGGACTGGACACGAAGTCAGGTGAGTGTTCTGTCGCCCAGAGTTGGAAGGACAAGCTGAGAGAAGAGAAGAAGAATCACTGGTTCTCGGATTTGGGACCCGGCCGACTGTGCATGGTCGAGCAGATCGTGGGCAGACTGCAATGCGCTGGAGTGCACGGGTCGACATTGAATTCTCTCCTGGCTCCATTCGCTGGGATGGTGTCGGTGCGCGTAGCGACTTTGGTGTTTCGGAGATTGCCCAAGGTCACGGAGCCACTAGGGTTTTACGACTGGGTGAAGAAGCATCAACCTGGCCTCGAGGCGAATCGCCCCATGTACCATGCGCTCGTGCAATGCCTTCTGCAAAAGCGGCATTGGGCGGGGGTGGAAACCATCCTGTACGAGATGGGGAGCAAGGAGAATTGCCTTCCAGACGGTGCGCTCTACAGGAAGATGATCAAAACCGCCAGTGATGCTGGCAATTCGAAGCTGGCAAACAAATGGCTGCAGAAGATGCTGCAGAGTGGTTTGGTTCCCAGTCTTCCCACCTGGAATTTGGTCCTCGCTGCTTTCGCTCGAGATGGCCGGTTCGCCGAGGTCTTCTCTGTCTATGAGCAGCTGAAGGACCACGATCGCCCTGCCGACAGGATCACCTACTGCGCGCTCCTCTCAGCTTGTCGAAATGCGGGCAGGGTGCACGAAGCACGAGAAATTGTGGCCCAGATGAAGTCCCGAGGTATGCAGCCCAATCGGATCGTGTACAGCGTTTTGGTCGACCTTTATGGCAAAGCAGGGATGCCAGATTCTGCAACTGCCACGTTTCGGGAAATGGAGAAAGCAGGTTACGAGCCGGATCAAGTGGCCTACAACACGCTCATCCACGCTTATGCGAGGGCGGGCTGGATCGAGGACGCAAATGACGCATTCGACCGAGCCATCAAACTGGGTGGCCACATCGATCCTGTTATTTTCTCGACCATGATCAACATGTACGCCAATGTGGGTTCAGTGGAAACAGCCAGGGATTTGCTGGAGGCCATGAAAGAGTTTCAGTTCGAAAAGAAGCACTATCAGTACGCTTACTCAATTCTCATAAACGCTTACACCAGGGTCGGGCAGCTGAGGGAACCCATTAAGCTTTTCGAAGAGATGCAGGCTGCCGGGTACCCTGTGAATGACAGAATTTACACAACCATGCTAAATGTGTACTTCAAAGTGGGTCGGCATAGATGTGCAGAGGCACTTTTCCAGGACATGATCGAGACGGGGAAGTGCAGGAATGTGGTAGCTTTTGGCACCATGATCAATATTTACGGTAGGATGGGAAGATTGGAAGATGCTGTGCGAATTTTCAACTCCTTGAAGGCATCAGGCCTCAAGGGAAACACTGTTATATACAACACACTCATTTACTGCCAGGGAAGGAATGGGAATTTAAGTGCTGTGGAGGAGTATGTGAAGGAAATGAAGGCCGCTCCTCTGGAGCTGGACAGAGTGACATACAGCAGCTTGATCAAGGCCTACAACAAGTCCGGTAGACCTTGTGATGCCATCCGCACTTACAACGAGATGAGATCTGCTGGTGTGCACCTCGATAAACTGGTTGTAGGCACGATGGTGAACACTTTCGGCAAGCTCAAAAGGTACGAGGAGCTCGTGCAGTTGTTAGAGGATACGAGACAGGAAAGAGTCTGGCCGGATGAAAGACTCCTAAGATCTGTCGTTGATGTTTACGATGCGATGCAATTAGCAGATTGTTCTCCGGATGCTTTTAGTACGTTGGGGGAGTTGGTCATAGCGATGGAGAAGGCTGTGTATCGACAGCATGGAGCTAAGGTACGGTACTCTTGTACAGAAAACCGACACCAGAGTGCACTCGGGTATGAATCGGAAGGAGAGATCGCCTCATAAGGGATGACCTGGGGCCAGTCTGAGGAGGGCTCCCATCTCGAGGCTGTTTCTCCTCCCTCTCAGCCTTTTGACGCTTCTTGGCATAAAAAAAAGGCCTCACAGCATGCAATGCAATTCTCTGGATCCTGGAAGGTCCTGGATCGATTTTTGTCAGCATACTTAGCGATCCCTACTTCATTTAGGGTATCAGAGTCCAACACCCCTGTTAATAGTTCCCGCCACGTGCAGAGAGAAATTCTTTCCAAAAACATCGGATCCTCATGCTAGAGAGCCAAAATGGTGGCAAAATGAGGCACTTTACTGGGACATCTCTATCGCTTCCCGCTGTCTAGGCATGCAGGTTTCCGCAATTGTATTATAATCCTGCCTTGTAAGTCTGGATACTGTGATCTCAAATTCATGTATGAGTAAAGGTGATGGGTATCCATTTTGTCACTCCTTTTCACCGCGGCACTCGCCCCTCTCTTTCATTTTGCATTCGTCTTTATCGATCGTATGGCAATATACAGCTCTTTTTCTAATCTTTTGGGTCATCTTCTCATTTCGGTGTTAGTGTAAGTCTTATTGCAGGAAGGTTGAAACCCAGCTTGGACGCACTGACTAGAAACTCTGAACCGAGGATACTTGCTTCGCATACATTCCTCGGCTTGCATACATTCCACAGCTGATGTCTGTGGGATAGATAAGCAACATTAGTGTTGTCCACTGGAATGTCATGGATGAGGAGTCAAACGAAGCCCTCATATTCGTGACGGATCGTGTGATATTTCCGATGCACTTTTCTCCTACATGGGCCGCCACTTTTACTTTTTTTTGTATCTTCATCTGACACCATAGAACATGGTGATTTAGCGAATTCTCCTGTAACTTGCCTAATAGATTTTTCTGTTTTGGAAGTGAGGTTGCGTAAGGTGTTGGCTGAAGTTTTGCATCTTCGCTTTTAGGAAAAAAAAGCATGATTCAACTCATTTGATACGAAGAAGTTCTTCTTAGCTTTCGGTCCTGCATTTCTTGAGCTAGGGATATTCGTTGTCAGTCCAGTAGTAAGTTTCACATGTGTGTTCTGATTGTGATTTCTGAACAGATCGGCAAGGTTTTTCATGTTAGAATAAGTCGCACACAGTTTGATATGTTTGACAACAGGCAAAAATAGAACGTAGTAGCAGGGCACTTCATGTTTTCCAGGTCTTCCACGCTAGTCTTGGAGGAATGCGTTGATGTTTTAATGCGTGCTACAGATAAATCAACTCAAACGCACAGAGGAGTAAGACACCCTTTTGAGCTCCAGTTGTAGACTTAGGAGAAAAGTCTTCAGTGTCAGACTGAACCTTGCTGCCTGCGTTTCTTCATCTTTTTTTTTTACCCGAGGACTAATAAACGAAGCCCCGAAGTCGATTTTCTTTGCCGCTGCTGTTCTTTAAGAGGCACTTAGCACGTTAATGCTCAGGTTTCTGAAACCGAATCCAGACCGAACTCTGGATTTGATAAGCTCAGTCAATGACCTCTGCACTGCTAGTGAACTCCCAAGTCCTGGCCTCTGTTCTCAATCTCTACTGGACAATTGTCTCGGAGATGTACTTCGGACAGCAGTCTTGTGAGAGCAAATCCTTAATTCCTTTGCCTTTCAAAGGAAGGTCCATATGTTCACATGACTCTGGGTCTTGTATGCATTCTGCTTTCTTATCACAAGAGGCTTGTCGTGTCTTTCCAGAATGATTGTGACCTGCGTGATATGAGCAAAGTGTTCGAAGGTTGATTGTCCGAAATTTAGAGTCAGTTATACGCTGGTCGCTTAGTTTTGTACTTCACTCTTACACCTTTGTTGAGGTCTTTCAGTAAAGGAAGCAGCTTGAAAGGTATCTTCTTCATTAGACCCTGCCTTTCTGAATCCCCCACGACCTTGTATATTCCATGTATTGCTCTTCTGCCGTTGTCTCGTGTGCTCTCGCAGTAATTTGTTCGCGAACTTGCTGAATCTGGAGGCAGGTGTCCTGCTCTCTTGAAAAGTCATAGTTTTAAACCTCGTGCAGGAATTTGGATGCACACAAGACGAGTCACTTTGTTTCACTCGTCACTTGCTTACAACATTTGAGATGCCGAATTCCGATACACGCTTTATTCTCTTTCTTTCTACCGGACTATCGACGTTCCCATTCTCGATCAGGCATATGTTTCTCAAGTGTACGTCTGAAAAATGAACATGGTAGAAGCTTTGAAACTCTGTGAAGATAGTCGGCTGGTGTCTTCCGTTTGCAGTCACGAACGTGATGATTCCCGATCGAGGGACCCGGTCAAGAGCATAATCTTCACAGGATGTGTTGGGACAACCAACAGGCCAGTACATGTCTGGAAAACTGTACACGGGCCCGTCCAACTTTCTCTGGAATCTTGTCGGCATTGGAATGGGAAGTACACGAGCCTCGAATCAGTGAGTCTCTTCAATGCTGCACAGGAGTTCCGTGCAGTATCACAACGAGAGAGCACGGACAGAATGAGAGCGAGCCGGTCGCTGTAGCTCGGACTTTTCCGAGGGCCAAGTCAAATCATGTCATGACGACAAGATCTGCAGATCCGAGCGAGACATGCAAAGCATATGAACTCGAAGGAACGCCTATCCATATGCCTCGAGTCAGAAAGGTGGCCAAGTAGGCAGACCGAATCGCCGGTGGCCGAACATGCCTGCGTTCATCCGAAGGCATGGGAGAACGCTCCGGCAAGTGTCATCTGAATTGAAGCCCAATCCACGAACAACACGCTGGAGAGGAGGACCTACGTAAGGTCTCATTGTAGACTGTTTTGTAGCCATGGGGGCATCTAAGCGGGTAGATTGAAGGAAGCCCGTCGAACAATGTCCGGGTCCTCCTCTGAACGCCGATGATTTCTGGAGGGAGTTGTTGGAAAGCAACAGAAGCCAACTCATCCCTCCCTCGACACTTTTAACAGAAATGGAAGCTATTTCCTGCCGATTTTCGAACCTTTTGAGCCCCCAGTGCTCAGTGTTATCCGGCATCTCTGCACGTATCGACTCGTTTTCTACTTCCCCGAGCGCTTTCTTCATTTCCCACTTTTTCAACCTCAGGATTTCATCTCAGAATGCGGCATGCAGGTGCACGGGAAATGGTGTCATCCTCGGGGGAAGACAATCCTTAGAGGCTGAGGAAATCAGCACAGGCCTGGCAATCTCCACTGTGGTCTCGCTGTAGCAATGACTCTCGAGAAATACATGGCTGTCAACGACTGCCATAACGTGAGCGTCACTGTTGTCAAGGACGAGGGAATTTCCCGAACAGTGGACCTGGGAGTTTGTTATCACCCGGGTTTCTTGTTGACCATCCTCCAGGACGCCAGGCGTACGTCAAAGCTCATCTCTGGGGCTAGAATGTGGATTTCAGCGAGGAAGATGGAGGCTGGGTGGGGGTGGGCGTGGGAGTCGAGTTCATGGTTCCTCCACTGGGGAAATTGAGCTCGATTTCCAGCGAGTCATGATCGAGTTTGTCTTGTCGAAAAGGCCGAATTTAGAGCTTCTGCAGAGACCGACTCCACCTGCCGAGGAGAGGAGGAGGATGCAGCGTGGAGCTGACTCGGAACCGAGCGCAGATCTTTGTCAACAGGTCCTTTCACCGATGCACTGCTCGGCTCACGTGCGACTGGTCATACACCATCACCAACATGTACAACCGGGCTGCCACTTGCGGCTGGCTGCACGAGCTCGTGTCATTCTGAAACATGAGGCTCGGAATCGTGTTCGATGACCCAGTCATCGAAGCGCCAACTTCGCAGCAAAACGAGGATCAGAAACTCGTGCCGATCCGTCCGACCCAACGAACCGCACCCAGCTTTTTTCCGATCCCCTCCCCTCTCCCCGTACTGCAATCTCTTTTGCTTGTCGATGAGTCAATCTCATCGTCATCGTCCTCTCGATATTTTCTCCGCTGGAAGGTACACTCCGGAACTGCTCGTCGAACTGCCCCTCCCTCCCTCCTCGGGCCGGGAAGAACGACCATCGACCCCCACTGTTCCATCTTCCCCCATCCCATCCCTTCCCTTCCCATCCCTCTTCGTCGACCTTCGTTTGACCCGCGGATGGACTTTATTCATTAGACTCGGGGTGCTGATGAAGATCGGATAAGAGCCTCCGAGGTGAGATTGTCCACTTAGTGAATGCTCGGATGTTAATCGATTAGGTAATGACAGGATTTCACTCATAATTCAGAACGCTTCATCATAATTCATTCTGCTGCATAATGTTACTTCACGCTCTGCTTCTCTGGAGGAAGCTCAATCAGAAGACTCGGTCTCGACTTGAGAGAGGAAGAGGGATAGAGAGAATCGGAATGCATGTGGTAGCAATGCACGCACATGATTTACACGATTGACGAGGAAGCTCATTCTCGACAGCTCACTGTAGATTGCAAGTGGGCTAGGAATCAGAACAGTGACTGACTGCGTACGAGGTTTGAATCTGCTGCTGCTCGGGCATGGTTCAGATGTGATTCTACTTACGCACCGAGAGGCGGCAGCTCTGACGTACTCCGACATGATCTATTTAAGAACTGGAACTGGAATGGAGATCTGCTCGGTCTGGCAACCGCGGTTGCCACAAACACGAACAGTGCTGGAATTGTAGGTCGGAAATGAATGACAGAGATAATCGAGATGTAATATTTTAATGTTTTTTATTTGGATGAAGAAGTAGCTGCTCGGCCATTGTGACTGGACGATGGGCAATCATTTCGTAAACACACCATGACGAGTGCCAGCGCCAGTCCTTACGAGGCGAGGCGACTGCGCGTAGAGTTACTGTGAGTGGCGTCGAAGACGATCAGTTCCCCCATCGCCTCTCGAGAGGACGCCCCGTTGATATTTCCGGCACAATCCTATTGGGTCCATGAGGTGAATCGAATGGGAATGTGATCTATCGTCGACTTATTGAAGGTCGTCGTGCTTGGGGGCTCCAGAGATTCCTTCCCACTCCGAACACTTCGAGCTTCTTCGTTGCTGATGCTCGAGTGACAGAGCGCCCCCCCTCCCCAGTCATGGAATCAAAGGATGTTCTCGTTCACACGAGCAGCTGCAGCAGCAGCAGTCGATTCGGTTGACTGGAGCTAAAAATTGGGGACGTGGATCTAGATTGCTAGCAGTCCAGCGTAGCCTTTTTGGTAAACCTTCCCTCAGTCACGAAGAGCGACTGAGGGACTCTGAGCAAAAATATCCCCAATCTTTTCCCAAAGGATGGGCGAGCGCCATGGCAGACAGACAGACACAACAGACGCAACAGACACAAGTCTTGTCAAGGCGAGCGACGTCGCACTGAGTCTCTCGCATCACGCCACAGTCCCTCCCCTCCCCCTCGCCCTCCCCCTCGCCCTACATCGATAGCCGGAGACTTTCATACGAATGCCGAAGAAACACTCATCATGCGAATCTATTCAGGCTCGGCTATTC